AAAAAAAAAAAAAGAAGTATTTTTATATATATTTTGTTTTGGTCATGGTAACGCAACTGCATTATTTCATTGATGCTGTCATTAGGTTTTTTCACAATATATATTATACACAGAATATTTAGATTTTTGATCTTTATGATAATTTTTTTTAAAGATCTGAATCTTCAAGTAATCTAACATTCAGCTGCTTAAATGTACTTGCACGTGGTGAATCTGTGCTAAAATGCAGTGTCACTGTGTTAAGGTTGTTAGCGGGGCGTTGAGGGGCTCATCGGCGTCCTCTCCAGCTGATGGCACCCTAGAAAACCCCCTAGTGTGCCTATGTCAAGAAACAGCCCTGCCAAGAAAAACGTCTTTTGGCAAGACTAATAATTTACAGATGAACTGTATTTTTGATCAGTTAAATGCTACATTATTGACATAGGCATCAATTTGTTTCAAAGATGTCTTAGTGATTCCAAACTTTTGAACAATTTATTTTCAGCATCTGGCGTAACAAGCTGATCAGCTGTGGCGAGTGTGTAATTTCAACTTTATTTCACTTCATAGTTTCTGCATTCCCTAACCCCTGACCTACAGGTAAACCACAAGGTCTGAGTGTCCTACATTATTAATCTCTCTTTTCTTTGCCCTGAACTCATTTTCAGGAGTTCTGCCTTACTTTCTACAAAGATGATCAGCCTTTCTTCTTCCTTGCTTTTGTCCTTCAAGAGTCACACATTCTCATTCTGGGACACTGACAAATGGAGACATCAGCATCAGCGGCACATCTTTATCGCCCGTGCCGAACAGTGGGAACAGCTTCTCTGAGAACGCTACTGTAAATGAATACACCTCAGATCCTGTCTTGGCATTGTAGAAGACCAGCTGACCCTCCTCACAGTCCAGATAGATGCCGATACGCCGCAAGTGACCCGTGACCTTAACCTTAGCGAGAGGCGGCGCGGTCAGAGCGCGTAAATAGTTCCCACTCCACCACAGTGCGTAGTAACCAATGGCAGGGGTCATGTCAAACAGACCTTTCCTCTGGGCCGAGTCACGCACCACTCCCAGCTTCCAGTCCTTATTCTCACCAACATTTACCTGAAAGTGTGACATTTAGAACTTTAGTGCTAAAAATATAACTTATTCAGATTTACATGAAAAGACATGCTGAGTTTTTGTGTGCATTAGTGTCTAAAGCATTCAACCTCCCAGTAGTGTCTTCCAGATTCATAGCCGTCTTTCGCGAGCACACAGGACCAAACATCAAAGCGGTGCGAGTTGTTCCTGTAGAACTGCAGCTTCTCGCCGCGTTTCATCTGTTTGCGGTCGTCTGAGAGGATGAGGAATGGGTACGCTGTAGTTGGATTCAGCGTTACGTCCTCTGAAATGAAATGGATATTTCATCAGCTCTTGAATTTCACAAGTTATACAGAAGTTTCATAGCTTTAAAAAAGAATTGAAAAAAGAATTAAGGCATGACTTTGCTTAGCGTGCACATAATATACAGTATATTATAGAAAATTAGGCTATGAACGAAATATAAAGAAATGCAACAGGAGTCAAGAATACTTACCAAGATAGCTTTTAACCTTTTTGTGGCCTAAAAAAAAGAGAATATTCTATATTAAAGGGCAGATCTAAATCACAGATTGGATGCCAGAAGGTAAATTGGCTGTATATATTTTCACTATTGTGCTAATTGAGTTGATTATCTGAACGTTCTCCTTCTAAACTTCATCATCTGTTGAGCTTCTTTACAGGTGAAACTGACGTTGTTTCATAATTGACACCGTTCCTTGTTTATTACTGCAAAGCTGCTTTGAAACAATCTGTATTGTGCTATATTAGTTTCAATCATGACAACCCAGAATAGCTTAGCAATGGTGATGGGTATTACA